CCTAGCCATTGCTTGACTGTTATCAAAATTAAACATGCAGTTCTGTCTGGGTTACTATGTCAATTGCTTTAGCTATTTTACTCTGTACGGTTATATTCTTTTTGATTCCTTCCCCGGGAGTGCAAAATCCGAAATTACTACGCGTCTGATTCACCCCTTCTAGACTTCTGTTCGTAGACGTTGCTTACATTTGAACTGGTTGCTGTTTTTCGAGAAAAGACTTTTTGATATTACCGATTCTGGACTCTTGAACTTGTGTTAGTAGATTAACGGCAATTTCGCCTTGGAGGCTTGTATCGGATCCGTTGCACGCTAGGCGTAAAAGGGCAATACTGAGCGTAGAATTAGGCATAAAATTGCATAAAAACAGACAGTTTGAAAATGTCTCGGCTTTCAAACAGGGTAATTTATGTAGCGGTTCGTCATATGCGCAAGCATGAATTTGAACCATAAAATCACAGCAATCACCATGGAAACCCAGGCCCTACGAGGGAACTCGAAGTTTTGGTGTTAGGGCCTTAAATCACCTCAAATGAGTGAGACAATAAAGTACATCACAGAAAAGTTAACTAGCGCTCCATTTAACCGAAACTTCAATTTTATAACATTTGATGGATTAGAACCAAGTCTTCTCTTGCAGATAGTCAGCGATGTTTTAGGAGAACTCGACTCTAAGGTACTTGAAACTTATTATTCCTTATTATTTGTTAGCATAAGATAGACATTCGTGAGGAGGCACCCGACCAAACGGCAATGCGAATGCTAGAGGTCTTACAGATGCTAAGATATAAAGTGCCGACTGATGCAGATGCACTGTACACAATGAATTTATTTTCCCTAATCTTAGGGCAAAATTTTGCGAGGGATTGCTTACGGGTGACAAATTTTTGATCTACCCCATTCTTGAATGGCTCCTTAAAAACTTTGAAGAGAACAAGAAGCGCGCATATCTTGCAAGATTCCTGGCGAAAGTTCAGGTTCCTGCCGAATTTTTGCAGGATGCCGAAATCGCAAAGCTCTACTCCGAGGTAAATATTTGTCTATTGAGGAGAAAGTCTACAAAATGCTTATTTATTAAGCAACTATTTGACTTCAAATGTATGACAGGCATTGTTAGATACTGCAGGCGAAATTCTTAGGTGACTGTACGAGAGTTATATTCCGATCTTACTCAAAGTTGTGCAGTTTTTTCGCCGTCATTTTCGTTAAGCACACTATCCTATTTTAAGGAATAACGTATGTGAAATCAGAACAATTTTAAATTTAAGCTGGCTTTGTGCTGCATAAAACGAATCTTGAGACGTATTGTGTCCCTGCGTACACGCGTGTAACGTTCGGCTTTATGTCCTTTGTCGTCGAAATTTCTGGACTTTAAAGCCATAGCCCAGCTAACGATATTCCAAATTTTTTGACGATATACGAAAACAATAACAATAAAACCCGGTTTTTAATAGAACTCTCTTCTTCCTGGCTGCTGGATTGTATGGACAGTCGTAGCGCATATTCCTAAAGTTTTAAGTTGTAAATTGGTCATAAGCGGGCACGGACCATCCTGATCCCGTCTAATTCCGGAAAAGTAAACTTTGGACAATTTTCTTCTTTTTGCAGTACCTGCCTCTCATATCATGGGTTCCATTTAGCAAGCGCAATTACGCTTATACCAAGCAAAACAGGCAGTTACTTGCACATTCAGGACAGCCATGATCCAAAATTTGTGAATTTTTTTAAAAAACCACGAAAGGATTCACATCTAGGGCCCTGGAGACCTTGATATATCCTGTATTTGCGAGGAAACCTAAAGCAAGAAACGCGATATTAGTCGCTTTCATATAGTGCAAGAGTCTTCAGTTCATTATGATGTTTGACTCGTCGCTCCTTTAAAAATTGAATTTAACCGTTTCCTCTTTTGACTCATACTAGGAAACACCTAGTGTGGACGGGTACGCAGTAATCAAATGTGGGCTATGAGCAGCTTAACACACAGGGCATATTCACAAACGAAAAAGGGGTATTATAAGAAGCAACATAAATTGTTTCCGAGGTGAAACAGAGTGCCAAAAATTCAGGCTATGCCGGTGACTTTCAGTCCTTTGAGAAATAAAAATTCTACAGTATGCTCCGTGAAGCAATGGGAAGTAGTAGTTTTTCTATCATATTTGACAGTCGATCTTAGATTGGAAGCCGCCAGTGAAAAAGTTTATATACCGTGCATGTCCGTCACTTTTACACAATATGCTCGCTAGATCATAAAACATGAACCAACCACATTTTTATTTGGCAACCACAGCAGCTTTTATTTAGTAAGAAAGTTCTTTCTAATCGGATTCCGCTGTATCAGTGTTGTTTCTGGGAGATTGCTGTTTTTAAAATTTAGAAACCGTTAAATCATTATTTATGAAAAACACTACTAGTGCCATATATATTATCACCTCTTGGT